GATAGATAGATAGATAGATAGATAGATAGATAGATAGATAGATAGATAGATAGATAGATAGATAGATAGATAGATAGATAGAGATTCTTCTGAGCATGAGAGATTTCTTCTGAGCATGAGATGTGCCGTGGGGGAGATATCAGATTTTATTAGGGGCCTGTATAATTCATTTGATGACTGCCCATTTTCAGTTTAGGTAAGCTCTACTGCATGATTAAAAATAGAAAGCCACCAGCATGTCACGGCTGAGCAGCCAGTGTGTTTGTGGAGCAGACCCAAATACAGACACGGGGAGAAGCACAGCAAGTGTGGCCTTATGTGTCAGTAAGCATAAACAGATGTCAGAGACCTCTGGAATATATATAAAGTTGACCATGTGCCTGTGCAGTTGGCTGATTTAATCAGTAATGTGTGGCTTGTGTTTTAATCACATTCTCATGCTTTGGTTTTATGTGAAGGACATAGTGCAGTGTGAATTTGCCAATTTAGAATGTATTGCTCATACTGTAAGTGTTTGAAGAAACCCTTGGGAAATATGCAATATGTAGCTTTGTTTTTGTGTTGCAGTAATAAGAGAAATTTGTGTTTACTTTCTGTAATGCTTATTCTTCGTGAAAGCTCAACAACACTTCTTTTGAAAGGCAATGTAGTATGGCATGACAATCTTACTGACAGTTGTCAAAACAAATTAGTGAATTAGAGAGAATTAACTGTATAAACGGAGGCTATATTAGGTTTATAACAGTATTATATCAGTGGCATAGCTTTGTGTCCACACTTGAACTGCCTCAAAATTAAACTATAAAATGCTAACTACAGATTTCAGTCTGTCTTTTTTTATGTACGTTTCTCAAAAGTTACTGTAACTGTGGGGTCTTATTTTGACACTTCTACCTAATGTCCTTATCAAAGTTTGGTAATAACATACATTTGGACCTTTTATTATCAGCCTTTATATACTGCTGTATCTCAAGGAATATTTTTATAACTGTAAATAGATAGAATTAAGAAGTCAAAATCAGGCATCTTCAGTTTAATTTGAAGATGCCTGATTGAATTTGTGCTAATATGAACCTCGTTTTTTAAAAATATTAATCTAACCATGCCATGACTAATGCTGAAAGCTAGGGAGAACACTAAGAAGAAGCACTGTCCCCATATGAAAGGACAATGTCCTGTAGCTATAAATCATAAATCATCAATTCTAAAGAAACTACTGTGTTGAACATTGTATTTTCCAATTGAACTTTTACAGAATGCAGAGTAAATGATACTGAATAAATATCATTAAATCATAGTCAAAGAGTTTATTAAATCAGTACATCATGAGAAGTCAATTCAACAGGTAGTTCATATTTTATGAATGCCGTCAAAAAGTTTCAGAGGATGTCCATTATTCAGCACTTTCGCCCTGGAAGAAAGAAGAAATGAAAAAGACTTATTCAACATATATTAAAAACGTTTGTAGAATTTGTCTCATCTCAATTTATATAGCTGGATTGAAATTTACACAGGGCATAAAAATATCTCCTGAGCTTCCTCCATCTCATGCTGGACCTTTCTCAGTCTGGACATGTGGGTGTTGGCCTGTTCTTCCTGTACAGTGTGACAATATGTTGTTGTTGTTGTTTTAAATATCTGGTCATATATGCTAAATATATGTCATTTATAAAGTTATGCATTCCATATGTAAAATCACTAAACATTTTACTCACAGCCTCCTCAGCCTGTCTCTTGTAAGCCTTGACTTTGAACTGCAGCTTGTCCACCAGATCCTGAAGTCTCACCACATTCTTCTTGTCCTCCTCAGTCTGCATAGATAACAAACTGTTATTGACAGCTGAGGAAGAAAGAATTTAGGAACTTAAATTCTGCCAGCACCTATGTTAATGTAGGTTAATTACTTGGTTGTTATTATACCTGTATGATTATTCTGATGATATTGGTTATGTTTAAAACTTTACTTTATCAAAGTTCCTCTGCTTCTTGTCAAGGTTGGCAGCCAGAGCATTAGCTCTCTCCACATCAATCATGAGGTCCTCCACCTCACCCTGCAGCCTCTGCTTGGTCTTCTCCAGTGAGGCACACTTGGAGTTCACAGCCTCAATGGATTCCTCAGCCTCCTGCAGGCGCTGGGCAAGCTTTTTCCTGTTGTTAAAAGAATTTTGTTTTGATTAAGTCTGAATTGGTTGGTTTTAAGTCTCAAAACTAATTTAAACAATGACAGTATCATGACTTACTTGGCCTCCTCCAGCTCCTCAGTGCGCTGGATAGCATCAGTCTCATATTTGGATCGCCACTGAGCCACCTCACTGTTGGCCTTGGACATTCCTCGCTGCAGCTCAGCCTTGGCCTCCTGCTCCTCCTCAAACTGCTCTCTGAGCAGATCACAGTCATGACGTGCTGACTGAACAGCATGAGCCAGAGCGTTCTTGGCCTGTTGAAAAGACAATCAATGTCAGGTGGACAACTTTAATGTTTAAATCAATTTTAAAGTCTAATGCTGAGAGGATGAGATATTTAAATGGTAACAACTAGGAACCAAATTAGAGGACAGATCAGCTGATTTAAAACGTATGTGTTTAAATTAGTAAGTGCTATGACAAAAAAGAAGAGAGAAAATATTTCCAACATTCACTTCCTCCTCAACGTGTCTCTTCAGTTCCTCAATTTGCTGAGTGAAGGCCTGCTTGCCCCTTGTGAGCTGAGAAACAAGAGCTTCTTTCTCCTCAAGCTGGTGACTGAACTCACCTGTAAATAGTAAACAGGTTCTAATATTAGTTTTCTTCATTTTACCGACTGGTTAGTCGCAATTTGTGGTCACCTCTATATCACGAATATATCTAAGTGTTTAAAATTGATAACGCCACCAAAAGACAACTTCTTTGTTATACATCACTTACCATTCTCTGTTTGAAGTCTCACCTTCTGGGCATTAATGTCATTCAGCTGACGAACATTCTCATCGTTTTTGGCTTTGAGTTCACTTAGTTGATCCTCAAGAGTCCTGCACATTTTCTCCAAGTTCCCCTACAGTAACAAATTGCAAGATATGTTGTAGATTTTTTCAAGTTTAAAACTTGTAAATTCATCATTTACAGTTGAAGAGTGTACATGAAAAGCAAATAAATAATTCACCTTTGCTTTGGCAACAGCCTCCATGTTGCTGGAGAGGTCATCAATCTCCATCTCGTACTCGCTCTTCTCTTTCTCCAGCTTCTGTTTGACACACTGGAGGTTGTCGATCTGCTCTCCGAGCTCTAAATTGATTAAGCTTATTAATGAGAACTAAAATTTTAATTTTTTTAATTAAAATGCACAATATTCTTTATGAACACTGGTCTTTAGTGTTACCTGGAGTTCCTTGATCTTTTTCTGAAGTTTAGCACCAAGGGATTGTTCATCCTCAATTTTGCTGAGAAGTTGGCTGATTTCAAAGTCTTTCCTTGATGGAGAAACCAACAGAGATTGTATTGTCACAGTCTGTATGATTGTTAGAATGCAATGAGTCAAAATGACATTCTTAACAAAAACAAAAAAAGCCCTACTTCTTGATTTTCTCATCAGACTGCTGCTTGTCATTCTCCAGATCCATTATGGATTCCTGGGCCAGTTTCAGATCTCCCTCCAGCTTCCTCTTGGCTCTCTCAAGGTCCATGCGGAGCTTCTTCTCTTGCTCCAGTGAACCCTCAAGCTATAAAGTCATGTCAGTTGATTCAAGTGGTTGGAAAGACAATGATTCAATACTCTTTCCATTAAAAAAGCAATATGATTATTATTTTCTTACATCATCAACTTGCTGTTCCAGCTTTGTCTTGGCCTTGGTCAGAGTGTTGACTTTGTCTTCCTCTGCCTGGAGATCATCCAGTGTTTGCTGATGGGCCTCTTGTAAGGCTTTCTTCTCCTTAGTTAACTTGGCAATAGCCTCATCCTGAGATGCCATCTCCTCTGTCAGGTTTTTCACCTAAGAATTGTACAAAGGATGTATTTAAATATAACTTAAAAACTATATCTCAGGAAAGAATTAATATATTTTATTTAGAGGTGTCTTTTTAAAAAAAAACAACAACATCTCAGATATAGATAAACTGAACCTTGTTTTCTGTGGCATGTTTCTCCTTCTCCACTTTGGCCAAGGTGAGCTCCAAGTCATCAATGTCCTTCTTCAGCTCAGAGCATTCATCCTCCAGCTTCCTCTTCTTAGCAGTCAGCTCAGCATTGATTTCCTCTTCATCCTCCAGTCTCTCACTTGTCTCTTTGAGTTTGGCCTCGAGCTGGATCTTGCTCTTAATGAGCCCCTCACACCTTTCTTCAGCATCAGAGAGATTGTCAACTTCCTATAATACATGGAACAGAAAACAATGTATAATTTAGTGTTGTCATGTCATGTGTCTTGGCAATTGCTCATTATTCATTTAAAAAAATCTACACTCTGTTGTGCCACATACACGGTCAGAATCAGCTAACATGCATACAAGAGATTATAGGCATTATATATTTGTTCTTTTGTTTATTACTTACTGCAGCCACTTGAAGTTGCAGATCATTCTTCTCCTGCAGCAGGCCGACCATCTTCTCCTCCATATTGTCTTCTCCAGCCAGGTCTGTCTGCATCTTCTCATAGTTCTCCTTCATGTTCTGCAACTCCTTCTCAGTCTCAGCACTCTTCAGAAGAGGCTTGATCTTGAAGTATACTTTCAGCCATGGCCAGTTCTTGACATTCATGAAAGAACGGATGTTGTACTGGATGGAAAAGATAGATTCTCTAAAAACCAAACATGAGAGTGTTACTTTTAGTGTCGTAGCATCTTAATATGAGGAAGGAAATATAAAAGAGAATAAAATAGAGTTTAGTATGATAATGTTACCTCCTCTCCATCATCTTCACAAACTCTTTCCTCATTTTTTTGCACATGTCGAGGAGCGTGTCAGGCTACATTTCACTGTGTTATACTTGTATAACTATGCATGTGACAAATAAAGAACCTTGACCTTGACCTTGACGTATCCTCTGCAGAGAGCCTGAGTCATGGTCACCAGCTCAGCCAGTTTCTCATCTCTCATCTCCTCAAGAGTGCCCAGCAGACCAGCTTTGAAGAACACCTATTTAATCATTGAAAACATAAGTACAAGTGCAAATGGAAAGTGTTTTGTGAATGTCTATTAATATAAAAAAGTGTACCTTTGTGTGCCCAAACATGTATTGTGTGTGATCCACATCAATGGAGCCAAGCAGCTTCTCTGAAGCTTTCTTGTTGTCAATGAACTGTCACTCAGGGATGACACTGGCATTCAACACTTTGTATCTTCAAGAGAGAATCATGTTGTTACTTAGATTTTTCTTCCATCATATTCAAGTTTGTCCTTTACATCAACCATGAAACCATTTCTCCTTTCCAATATTGTAATGTGCTCTCACCTCTGCTTGAAGTCACCATAGAGGATTCTGCTGGGGAAACCCTTCCTGCAGATTCTGATGCCCTCCAGTACACCGTTACACCTCAGCTGGTGGATGACCAGGAAGTTCTCCATAAGACCTGAGAGTCAGAAATCCATAACGTTTCAAACGTTTCTTCATTTCACTCTGTCATTTTTGCAGTTAATAGGACTGTGGGGTCCTGTGAGGGTTTTACCTGGGGTCTTTGTCTCATTGGGAATCAGGCAACGGACAAAGTGAGGATGAGTGCTTCTTAAGTTGGTCATCAGCTTGGACAGATTCTCCTGTAGATCAGCATCATTAGATAATAGGTCAAAAATATTTTAAAAAGAGCATTTAATTTTGTTTTTCTAAAATATAAATCTATACATACAGAGCAGACACAGTCTGGAAGGAACCACCCTTCTTCTTCCCACCTTTCTTGCCACCACCACCAGCAGCCTCTGTTTTCATAAACAGTAAATTTCATTACTGGAATTGAAAAAATATTTTTCACAGTATAATATTAGCCACGCGAGCTTGTGAGCACTTTTGTTTCTAACCTTCAGCTCCAGCATGGGCTGCATACAGGAAGCCCAGCAGTTTGTTTGATGACTTTTGGTAGAGCTGAACAACTGAGTCATTCAGTGGGTCCTTGTTCTTGTCCAGCCAGCCAGTGATATTGTAGTCCACTGTACCAGCATAGTGAACCAGGGAGAAGTGTGCCTCAGCCTTGCCCTTTGCAGGCTTTGGCTTCTCAAATGCTTTGGTCTTGCCAAGATGCTGATCGTGCAGCTTGTTCTTGAACGTTGTGTCAGAGGCCTTGGGGAACATGCACTCCTCTTCAAGGATGGAGAAGATGCCCATTGGCTGAGAAAATGGTACATGTCATATTAAAATTTCAACAGAGGTAACATATGCACCCATATGTAAATTTCTTCCTGAGCAGCTGTTTACCTTCTCAATAAGCTCAATGCAGGCAGCCAAGTCCATACCAAAGTCAATGAACTCCCAATGAATGCCTTCTTTCTTGTACTCCTCTTGCTCCAGGACAAACATGTGATGGTTAAAAAACTGTTGCAGTTTCTCATTGGTGAAGTTGATGCAGAGTTGCTCCAAGCTGTTGAACTGTAATAGTACAAACATGTCTAACTTCATGGCAATAAAGTCTTTAAAGTTTAAGAAATGTGGTGAAATGTTTCAAGTGCTCACATCAAAGATCTCAAACCCAGCGATATCCAGCACTCCAATGAAGAACTGTCTGGGCTGCTTTGTGTCCAGCATCTCATTGATACGGATAACCATCCACAAGAACATTTTCTCATAGATAGATTTGCACAGAGCCGAGACAGCATTGTTGACCTGGCAAACAAGAATTTATAATGATACAAAACCCAGGATACAGCTATAATGTCCAAATCTTTAATATAACATTATTAAAAATTTATTTAAATTACCTGTGGGACGGTCTGACCTTTGGTCACCATCTCATTGCCGACTTTGACTCTTGGGTAGCACAAAGCTTTCAGCATATCAGCTGAGTTCAGGCCCACGAGATATGCAATCTTGTCAGCCACTGAGGAAAAATAGCACAATGTCTAATTAATGTACATTTCTTCAAATGTTACTTCCCTCTAATGTCCCAATCCTCCCAATTATAAACAAAAAAACTTCATAATGACAATTTTACTATTTTGCCAGTTACCCTCAGTGCCATCAGGTTCAGCCTGCTCTTCACGCTGCTGCTACTTGAATTTCATGTTGCCATGATACATCACAGCACCAGTCAGCTTGTAGATGTTTATTTTCTCATCAGCAGTAAAGCCCAAGATGTCAATTGCAGTCTGAAATTCACACAAATGAAAGAAACAAATATTCTGAAAAAGAAAAGAGATTTATGCCTAAATGCAAGAATGCAGATAAACATGAAATGTGATTTTACATCTGTTGCAATGAACTCCTCCACATCATTGATGCTCTTGACAGTGACTTCACCCTGACTGATCATTGGATAGTCATAAGGGTTAGTTGTGATCAGAAGAGCCTCTGTAATAAATAAATAAATTAATTAATTAATTAAAAAATTGTCTCATTATATTTTCTTTAATTCTTGGAACCACTGAATGAAAGGCAGAGTCTTCAGCTATCATGCTACTTTCCTGTGGAACCAGTTTCCAGTATAGATTCAGTAGACGGACAACCTCCAATTGAATATTAAGCTGAAAACTTTTAGTGCTTTTATTTAAAACAAAGTTAGGGTTGGATCAGGTGACCCATGAACATTCTTTTAGTCACACTATGCTCAGAGTGCTGGGAGACTTGCATTAATGTACTGAGTATATATTTTCCACTCAGATTTTCAGGTTCATATAGCATTACATTGACACAGTTTATCACTAGCATGAAGTGTACCCTATGGTAACCAGTAATGAGATTTAAATTTGGAGAAGTCCTGAAATGTCACTGGTATACAGTTGCAGGACATAAACATCTCAGGCATCTGTCATCAAATTCAGCATCAGACTTTCTCTTAATGCCAGACAAGTATTGTATATCTCTACTGGGAACAGACTTTAAGGACGATTGGTCAGCTCAGATAACCAAATACCAGAACAATGTCACAAATAATACTGATGCATTTCTGCAAAATATAAGGATACAGCTTTTTTTATTTGTTTTTTTGTTTTGTTTTTTTGCCTAGTAAGTGATAAATGATTAAAGTAAAGGACCCACGCATGGCTTAATATTTTCCATCTTATCAGCAGATGAAAAGGTATTAAGGTCAAAAGTAAATCCAGGAAAGGTTATCTTATGTTTCCTGAATTTTATAAGTCTTCATAATTTTACAATGAGGAACAGCATTGTATCACAGACTGTAGAAAATTTGTTGTTTTGTTTTTTTTCTTGTTATTGGTGAGCCTCTGCCAGACTTTACTTCTGACAAACACCCCCTCTCTGACATGCTGTTTTTAGACTTAATCATGTTACTGACCTGTTGCTAATTAATCTTTTAAGATTTTTAAGATTTTAGCCTGTGGAATCTTCCTCCAACTATGTTTTGGAAACATGTTGCTGTCATCAGATTTAAATGTTTTTAAATTAATAGTAAAATGTCAGACTTAACATATCAAATCTCTTAAATGTTCCCCATCCCTGGTGGATAAAACTGTACAGTTATCCCCACTTTAAAATACTTTAAAATATTGTAAGACATATAGATTTTTATCCACTTTCTCTAATCTTTATAACTAAACTTTTAGAATTTGAAACAGTACACAGAAAATAAAATAATAAAATCAGAAATGTTCACTTTCAGTGCACATGATCACTGGTCAGTAGAGATCCAGTTGGTCCAGATCTTGTTCTTGTCCAACTTTTCATTAAGCCAGGCAGCACTGCTGTTAAAAAATGAAAACTGCCACTCAATACATTAAAGAGCAATGAAAAGGATTAAGAATCTGTAGGGGGGAAAAGAGTCCCACATACACAAAGTTATGATCGCAAGCTTCTTATTTTAACCTGTTGAATTACAGTTATGTACCCAGGCTGCTGTGTCACATCTCATAGTTAGAAAGCCTTGCTGAAAGGGCTCTCTAGGGAGAAATGTTAAGCACATGACTTGTTTAGCTTGCAACTGATGGTGCAGCTGCTGTAATGAGATGATAGAGAGGAGCCACCACACTCTTATGCAAAAAGATTGTTCCTAACCTCATTCAAAAATGAAAACCTATGGTCCATTATGAAATAAAACACATTACAGAGGAGATTCATTTTCACATACTTATTAAATGTCAGTACATAGTCACAGTTGCCTTGTTTTCCCTGATGGATATTTGCACACCATAATCCTCTTGGAATTCGCTTATTGATTGGAACACCCGAATTGGATGTCTAAGTTAATACTTTTGGCAATATAGTCTGCATATATATAAAAATTCCCCACTCGCCCTGCAAATGTCTTTATCCTTTCAGCTTGGGTCCTCTACCTGAGGTCTGGAAGCTATCAGTATCTTTGCTGCAATATTGTCTTCTGGTAGTGCAATCCCCTCAGGTCTGACTACCTTTGCTTTCTTTGTTGCCATCCAACCACACTTCTCTAGTGTGAACATTCCAATATTGTTGCTGTAGATCTTAGTGGTGTGGATCAGCGAGACTATGTCTTGTTCACCCCTGGCATACAGCTTGATGTCATCCATGTATAGGCGGTGGCTAAAATTTGCTCCATTCTGTACTTGTTCTAGTACAGAAGTCTTTTCAATGATAAGGCTGAGGAGGTTTAGGACTGCAGAACAGCAGTGGGGACTGAGTATCTTCTTGGTAAATCCTGCACTTGATGGTGACTTGCACAATTGGCTTGAAGTTGGCTTCTATTGTTAATATCCACATATTCCTGATGAAGGCTCTTAGGGTTCTGTTGATCTCATATAGTTCTAAGCATTCCAGGATCCAAGTGTGAGGCATTCAGCCATAGGCTTTCTTTTAGTCAATCCTGGCAGTCCACAGGTTGCTCAGTCTGGTCTTACAGTCTCGAATTACTTCTCTATCTACCAGTAGCTAGTGTTTCTGTCCTGGTCTGGGTGAGTGCTGTATTTTTCGACAGTGGCGGTGATTCCACCTCTGGGAAGAGTTGTCGCATCATGACAGGCTGCACCTGGGAGTAATTTGGCGGTCAGCTTTTTAAGACCAGCACTCACAATCTCCGTCAGATGGTCTGCTAACCACCGTTAGTGTAGGCCGTCACAGTTCATGTCTGAGTTTCATAGTGTTGCTCATACTTACCAGTTTTTTCCTCTCTACTCACAGAAATTCGCCGGACGCCATTTTCTAACCTGCAATAATCAAATCTCTGTTCAGTCGCTGTTCTGCTCGGCAGCTTCACTGCTTATACCCCTGCCTGCCTCCCTGCTGGAACTGGAACTGGAACAGTTCGTATCTCCATTCTGGACTCACTCACAGCTCACCCGGACCACTTACCCTTCTAGGCTTTGCTGCCACCTGCAAAAAGTGAGACTGTTCACAATTTGTCTGTTTCACCCTGGATCAGCGTGTGGAACACCCCTTGACACCTGTTTCTTCTGTAACAGTGACTCTGAGCACCCCAGCCCCTTTCCCCAGTCTAGCCTTCACCTTAATCTCATGCCATGAGGTTCCTGTACTAGCAGTTACCCAGTATCGGGTTCTCCGGCTCTTGTACATGCCAGCCTGTGCGCATGATTTCTGGACTCTTTCATAGTTCCTCTAGTGTGTAATATTCATCATTCATGGTTTTGTGTGTGTATTCATGGTAACTATCATAGCCTTA